ACCCAAGCGCTCTCTGCCTCTCCCCACCTCTCCCCACTTAGGCAGAGCTGGGCTTGATCACCTAGACTAGTACTCCCACACACAGGTGTCGCACTTACACAGCAGCAGCAACTTGTGTTTACTTCTCATGGCCTGAGAATCATTGGCTGGTTCTTCTGTCTTCCACACTAGACTGTAAGTTCCTTGTGGCCTAGGCAGTGGTTTTCTCTCCGATTCTCTGGTACCTGACCAAGTGTGTGCTTGTGCTAGGTACTCAGTAGACGTCCCTACAGGTGTGGCTGGGCAGAGACAGTTTTGGTGATGTATAGCCACTTTCCTTTGAAATCTTTCAGAAAAAAGAACACATTGTGATGGTAGATATGAGACAAGAACACTTAGAAAAAGCTTAGCCCCCACTCTGTGAAAGGTGGTGAGGTCAGCATGATCTCAGCTCAATGGTCCTTTTTTTTGCTGAGAATACTGCATTCTGAACTCTTCTGGGTTCCTCAAGTGTTAAGCTCAAGTGTGTATTTCACCCTCATTTGAAGGTCCTTTATCTGTTCCAGAAAGTTGTTTCAGCTCTGCTTCCCACTTGACTTTTCTGTGCCACTCTACGGCTGTGTATGTCTGCATGGGTACACTGATTTGTGATGAGCAGGCTGTATGTCACCTCTAAGCTGGTGGTTCCCTGTGAGCAGTGTTCTCCACTGCTATGTCACATGCAGCAGAGCACACACCTGACAGCCACATTGTGTTGTCATTGATGTATGCAACAGAGCAGCAGGAGGTTCTCCACCTGGGTCTGGGAAACTCCCCCCTCAAGGGTTTTGGATGTGTGTCACGAACCTGAAACTGTATGGGAAATTGTGTGTATATGTTCATAAATATATTCCTCTTGTGAGAGAGTTTCTGAAATATTTTTGTTATCCTTAAAATGTTTTAAAAAAAAAAACATTTAGAAATTTTCCACATATGTGTAAATTACAGTTTGTGTTTTTGTTAGCTAGGAGATATTTTTATGCTCCCTTGATTTCCAGGTGTGAGCTACAGGTTGAGTAGCCAGAGAGCTCTGGGTCACAGTCTGGCCTGAGCGCTACTTACACATCCTGGACTTAGCCCTCGGAGTTTTCACTGAGCCCTTCTGAGCTTCATTTTATTTTTCATCTGTTAATTTAGGTTCATAATGCCCTTTTGTCCTACAGGGAAGTTGCATAGTAAAGAGATCACAAGTGTGCAGGTGTTTTATCAACTGTCAAGTGCTGTACAATTGTGGGATGCAAGTATTCTTATTAAAAATGTATCATGTCTCGGTCAGGCACGCGGTCGCTCAAACCTGTAATCCCAGCACTTTGGGAGGCCGAGGTGAGCAGATCACGAGGTCGGGAGATCGAGACCACCCGTCTCTACTAAAAATATGAAAAATTAGCCGGGCGTGGTGGCGGGCGCCTGTAGTCCCAGCTACTCGGAAGGCCGAGGCAGGAGAATGGCATGAACCCGGGAGGAGGAGCTTGCAGTGAGCCGAGATTGCGCCACTGCACTCCAGCCTGGGTGACAGAGCGAGACTGTGTCTCAAAAAGAAAAAAAAAAAAGTGTCATGTGTTATGTCACACAGTGTCGAGGACATGGTAGGCAGTCAATAAATATGTGATTAAAATGAACATGGAAAGGGTTTATTGAAGTGAGAGGGCTAGAAGTTTTAAGACACTGGTGTCTGTACCTTGCAGATTCTGTGGAGGACCTAGTATTCAGGCCTAGAACACAGCTTAGGGCTGTTAGAGGGACTGATTTTCAAGGAATGTTAAAAGTAGAAATGACCTTTGAGACCTTAAGTGTATTTTTTTCTTTTATGGAAGAAACTTAGAGAGACAGGGGCTATCCCACTTATTTCAGAAGGGCTTGAGACTCTTCCTCACCGCTTTTAATGGTGGCCAAAAAAAGACCTTCTTTGCCTTCATATTATCAACATGTTGTCTTAACTTTTTAAAGCAGCATAGAATTCACCACATGTTCCTAATTCTCTTCCTGGGGCCACTTATAGGCCTGCAATTCTTGACTATACTGATGCTATTACTAGACACAGGCACAGTGCACTGTAAAAACTTGGAATTTCTGAAGTCCTTCCTTCTTGGAGTGTTCTCTTAGACATCACATCAGACCACTGGGTAGAAAGCATTGCCACCATTCTCAACCATACTGATACTCAGAGAGGTTTCTGTGACTTCCAAGTCACAGAACTCAGTGTCCAAGGCAGAATGAAAATCCAGGTGTTCTAATTTTCTATTCTTATAGCTACTAGATTCTAAATGTGCTCCTCAGACCCCCTCTCTGCCCCCAGTAGGTGACAAAACAGTAACCTAGAAATTTTTTTCTTAGTGTTTACATATATATGTATAAATTTGTCTATGATCTAATCTTTCCATCTAAAGAATTTGTGATGGAATATTTAACCATTGCTTTATAATGAATGTTACCTAATTAAATATTACTTCAAGAATTGGCTTCTTTTTTGGTAATTGTGTTACTTTTTTGAGGAGAAGTTTTGTTTTGCTTTTTAACCTTGTTGTGTGCATTTGGAAACTACCCTAACACAGGGTATCCAAAAGCAGATAATACTGGCACTTTTCCCACTTTCCATTCTTCCTCTTGTATGGATGCCAGAATCCTTTGGGAAATCATCATTTACAAAAGTCAGGAGCAAAAGGAGGGGCACTCTTTAGTGTACAGTCACTGCTAATTGGAAACTAAACATCTGTAACCATGTCAGAGTTATTTGTATTTGAAAAGAAACATTTATATACAAGAGCCCTTTCGGTAACATAAAACACACTGTAACACAAAGTGTGTGCATTGGAGAGGTGGGTGACGGACGGACGGGGAAGCTTCCGACAAATGACTGTGCCGTACTAAGTGAGGTGATTTGCTAATTAAATCTCAGAACATTTTCAGAGTGTTTTTTTTTTTTTTTTTTTTTTTTGAGACGGAGTCTCGCGCTGTCGCCCAGGCTGGAGTGCAGTGGCCGGATCTCAGCTCACTGCAAGCTCCGCCTCCCGGGTTCACGCCATTCTCCTGCCTCAGCCTCCCGAGTAGCTGGGACTACAGGCGCCCGCCACCTCGCCTGGCTAGTTTTTTTGTAGTTTTAGTAGAGACGGGGTTTCACCGTGTTAGCTAGGATGGTCTCGATCTTCTGACCTCGTGATCCGCCCGCCTCGGCCTCCCAAAGTGCTGGGATTACAGGCTTGAGCCACCGCGCCCGGCCAGAGTTTTTTTTTTTTTTAATCAAGTGAAGTTTCTCCCTGACCCCACCCTCATCATTTCCTATAGACCAAAGCAAACGTTTTTCTGCATTTGCCAGTTACAGATTAAACATTTAATCATTTAAAAAGAATAAGTGAGAAAATGAATGAGTTGTAGGAACTGTCACAACTACTGTAACCATAGCTCTCTGTTTTCCCACAGATAATGTGGGGTGACCTCTTCTCCATCCTGAAACTGTGCTGCAGGACCTACCTGACAGACCTAACTGTCTTAGGGGGAAAAATAGCATATATATTTTTTAAACTCACCCCATACTTCTTTCTCCTCTTCTCCTACCTCCCCCAACACCATGATGAAATTCTGCTCCGACTATTCTATTTGTACAGAAATTGTATCTGTATTTCTTTTGGCATATTAGAATAAACTTTGGCGATAATCTCTAAGGTATTAGAAACATTGCTATTGTAGGGCCCTGTCCCTCTGCTCCTGAGCCAACATGGCCATGTAGCCCTAATGGCCTGATTCTTACCAAGTAATTCCTTCATGAACACAGATTAATTTTGAAGAAAGTCAAGAGGCCATCTCTTTTCCCCTGCAGAGTCTACCATCTTCTGACCTTCCCTATTCTTGTCATCTAAGACATTTCTGTAAGTTGAGTTACTTTTTAATTGGATGAAAAATCATGACGTCTTGAGCGTTCTAGTCAAGAACTTATTTAAGCTGGTACTTAGCATATTGGACTTTCCTCTCAGTCTCATATCTGTGAAGACTTTTACTTTACTCTCAATCAATCAATCTCATATCTGTGGAGGCTTTAAAGTGCACAGTTTCAACAAAATGGTTATGGCCTTTCAGGTTCTGAGTGTTTATGAAGTTGAAAGGCTTGTAGATGACCTGCCTTTACAATGACCTTTCTAGAATCTCAACATAACACTTGTCCAGGACTTTCACTGTTTAAGAACTGGCTTTTATTCCAGCTCTTTGGGTATGAGTCAGCCCAGAGGCAAGGATTTGGTGATTTGAAGGTCCATCTCTTGTTCTCTTAACAATTAGTTCAGACCATGTACTATGCTCTTTGTGGCACTCCCCAGTATGGCCTGACCCACTTCTCAGCCTTAACTTTTACTGTTATTCATGAACCTCTACATTATTCAAACACATCTACCTACACCTTGAGTATTTCTAGTCTTGCTTTATACCACTTTGCCCTTGGTTGAAATGACTTCAGATCTTTCTTGGCCTACTTGAATCATGCTTGCTTTTCTGAGTTCCATCCTTCTTCTGATTTTCTATAGTCATAATGTCAAGGTCACTTGCTTCTCACTTTTCCTATACTGTCTCGTACTTTTGGTCATTTTTTCAAATATACTTTTCCTCTGGCCAACCAAAGTATGGGCTCTTCAAAGACAATGGTGACTGTCTTATTTTTTATGGCACTTATCATGGTGCTTTTGCTTATCATAAATACCCAATAAATAGTTAACGAGTAAGTTGTTTTTTGATACTACTTGTTTATTGTGTTATTCCCAAGCCTGTCTATGTTTAATCTCCGTGATAAAGAATTATAGATGCTAGCGATATTTTTAACAAAAGCAAAGTCACCTGTAGAACTAATGCAGATACAAAACATCATTTGGAATAAGGAACAACTCCTGTCTCCCCCTAACCCCTGAATGTTCCAGCCCATGCTAGATAGAATGTAAGTATATACAAAGACAGATGTAGAGATGACTGTTGAATGGTCTTGTGTTTTTATTTCTCCCCAGGTGTGGTCACTCACCTGTCTATCACTCCCGTGAAATGGCAGCTCGTGCGTTGGTCCCATTTGTTATGATAGATCACATTCCTAATACCATTCGAACTCTGTTGGCCACACTCCCCAGCTGCACTGACCAGTGTTTCCGGCAAAACCGTATTCATGGGACACTTCTCCAGGTAAGTAAAGTTGCTTTGTGTGACTTCTGTCAAACACCATAAGATGAACTCTGGTTTCTCATGTACTGTTAGCTGGTGAAGATTGATACACAGCCTCTTAACTTTGTAGAACTTTTTTTCTACTTCTGAAAGATCAGGTATCTCCTAGTTATGCTTTTTTCATCCCAAATATCACTACATTGTTACATTGTGATTCTCTCAGATTATCTTTTGCAATAAATCCCATGTTTTCTACAGTATACTTTCTCCCACTTGGCCTTACCTCTGTGAGCCAGATAAAACTTTGTCTTTTCCATCAAGTATGCCTGCAAAACATTCTGGGCTACTACCTATTCAGAGTAAAACTGAAAGCTACCTTGAGAAAGGTTAACCTAAGAGGCACAGGAAGAGTTATACACATCAGGGAGAGTTTGCCCTGTGGCACAGCACCTTAGTACATGAACCTTTCCTGTTTTCTCTGTGCTACCAAAAAACCTTATTATTTTGAACAAATGTACAAGTTTATTGTTTTTAACCTAACATTTCTTCTAGAAAAAAGTAACATACAAAAAATAAATGAGAAAGAGACTTTTTACTGAAACTGCCCTATTTCAACCCTAACTTGAGGACAGGTAGTATTGGTGAGGTCTTGTGTTCAAATGGCTGCTATAGTTGCTCACACGGGCATAGGGTTAGGGGTGGAATATAAATGTCAGGTCATGTTCCCGGTTTATGAACAGAGTTGAGAGATGGCCTTGAGATCTCAATACATGTTATAAGCACTGCTGACGTGGCAGGCAGTGGCTGGAGTGATTAACAAGATGAAACTCTGGAGCCAGACAGCCTGGGTGTGAATCTCAGATCTCCCCCTCATTACTTATACATCCATGTCTTCATTTTTGAAATAAGGATAATAGTAGCATATACCTCATAGGAACTCTGTGAACACTAAGGGAGTTAATACATACAATATGCTTAGAATAGTGCCTGTTACACCACAAGATATATAGATAGTCATTATTATTATTATTAATTTTAATAAACCTGTACTATAATGAAAACTAGTTATTTCATAACTCATTCTCCCTAGGTAATAAAAATGCAAGATAGAACTATCTTTTTCTTTTTTCTTTTTTTTTTTTTTTTTTGAGACAGGGTCTTACTCTGTTGCCCAGGCAGGGGTGCAGTGGTGTAGTCTCGGTTCAGTGCAAACTCTGCCTCCTGGGTTCAAGCCATTCTTGTGCCTCAACCTTCTGAGAAGTTGGAATTACGAGCTTTCTGCACCCCCACTGTTCCCACAGTCGCCAATTTTTGTATATTTAGTAGAGATTGGGTTTCACCATGTTGACCAGGCTGGTCTCGAACTCCTGACCTCAAATGATCCGCCCACCTTGGCCTCCCAAAGTGCCGGGATTATGGACATGAGCCACTGTGCCTGGCCGTTCCTTGATTGTTTTCTATATTCAACAAATATTTACTGAATGCCTACTACATACCACTGTGTCACAGTCATAATAGCAAGTAAGTCAGTTTTTGCCTTGAAGGAGCCAAGGACAAAAAAGTACCAGAAAATAGGCAATCACAATGTAGTGCGCTAAGTGCTGGGTGAACACATAGCAGGGCCACCAGGCTCCTCTGGGAAATTGAGGAAAATGTCCCAGAGGAAGCAACATCTAAGCAGAGACTGAAGAAGTTAGCCAAGTAAAGAAAGGGAAGGAGTCTCCCATGCAAAGAGAGCAGCATAAAGGCTCCCAGTGGGTGAGAAGGTAGCCCCTGAGTGGGAACTACTGGTTTGGGTGGGACTGAAGTTCTAGGTTGGCAGTTTTCAAATTTGTCTCAGGACCTCTTCAGACTCTTAAAAGCTATTACGGCTCCCAGAGAGTTTTCTCTATCAATATTCAATTAGAAAGTAAACTTGAGACAGGCCGGTGTGGTGGCTCATGCCTATAATCCCAGCACTTTGGGAGGCTGAGCTGAACAGATCACTTGAGGCCAGGAATTCAGGACGAGCCTGGCCAACATGGAGAAACCCCATCTCCACTAAAAATACATAAATTAACTGTGTGGTGGTCCATGCCTTTAGTCCCAGCTACTCAACTTGGAAGGATGAGGCACGAAAATTGCTTGAACCCCAGAGGCAGAGGTTACAGTGTGCCGAGATCATGCCACTGCCCTCCAGCCTGGGCGGCAGAGCGAGACTCTGTCTCAAAAAAAAAAGTAAACTTGAGAAAATATTAAAACTCGAGGACTCACAAGTACATATTGCATTAGTCATCAAAATAATGACATCCTCACACACCTTGTAGCCTCTGGCAAACTCCACTGTACACTCAGGAGAGAATGAGAGTAAAAGAGGAAACTATTTTCTTGGCATCACTTGAAAATAATTTGTCCTGGGGACCTCTTGAAAAGATTGCACTGCCCTAGACTGCAGTTTGAGATCATCTGGTCTATGTTACATACGTTATGGGTCTTAGGTCGTTTCTTTAATATCAGCTCTTGAGCACTCATCTCCCTTGAGTTCTCACTACATCCCTGTGATGAAGAGAGGGGCAGGGGTTATTGTCTTGGTGTTAAAGATGGACCATTGTGACCCAAAAATTATTTGCTCTGCCTCAAAATTTATATCTCTTGATTGTGTCAGACTCTGCTGATTCTTCGAAAGAGCAGGGCTGGAATGATGAGGAATATAGAACAGCCTTTCCAAAGTGTAAACTGTATCTGAGTTAGAAGGAAGGCCTAGCTTGTCAAGTGGATAAGCCATCAGATTTTCTTTACTGAAGATCCACTCTTGGCTGAACTTTGTCCAAATAGTTTGCTTGGAGTTGCTTCTTGGGCTCTCTCATCAGTTGTGCAAATGAGCCTCCCAGCCTTGTTTCCCATACACACTACTGACAGTTCTGGCTGGGTTTCACCAGTCTGCCCAGCAACAAAACATGGTCTTTTGCTCTGCCTCTGGGCTGCTTTTGATAGTCTCAAGTTTACTTCTTCTGCTAGATAAAATGTGAAATCCTGTGGAAAGGGTAAAACCCTAGAACTCTGGGTTTGTTGTGGCTGTTGCTCTTGTTCCTAAGTGTTGGTGAGATGAAGGGCTTGTTGAATAAAAGCCAGCAAATGTGGGTGTTGGGTATCGTATTCATGTTTGTCAGGCAGATTCCTACCTTTATCAAGGTTGGTTTACCCTGGTTCAGAAAAAGAAGTCAAAGGGATGTGGAAAGTCTTTCTGGCGTGTCCATTTGAGTGTCACACTTGTGTTGTCCTAGTTCTGTCCATCCTGTGGTTCTTTCTGGGGAAAAGCATAAAGGGTTAAGTTGGGAAGGGCTCTTTTTCTTTTTCCTTTCTACATCTTATAGATTCCTCTCCACATAAAGCTACCTTTGAAATCATTAAAAAGCCTGCACCTGGAAAAAAGGTGTTAGGGATTGAAAGGAATGATCATCTCCATGGGATCTCCAGAGCCAGCTAAGTAAATATAAAGTTGTTATTTTTTTCAAAAGCAGGAAATCATTTTGTAGTCAGAAAACAAATTCTTTCACAGAACATTTTCTTGAATTATACATTTTGACCGCTTTGAAAATGTTTACATAAATATATCAAATCTCAGAGTATTTCTATAGTATACCTTGAAAACAAGAAATATGCTGATCTCTGAATTTTCTGGGACTATGGAAGAAAGACTCAAATTATAACACTTGCAAAAAAAGAACATGTGGGATTCATTTCTTAATCATTTTAAAAACCAGAGGTTCATAATTGCTGTGTTGAGATGGTTAGAAGTAACACACATTAGAAAAGGTGAGGTTATGCAGCAGATTCATGAGAGCCAGGGGTAAATGACATTAAATCTCAATAAAGGCTAGATAAGAGCCATGGACATTACCTCATTTGGGAACATCACTAGCAGGGCTGCTGTGTCTTTTAAGTAGAATTAACCTTCTGTTTTTGTTGCTGAAACTCTTCATGTTGGGGACTTAACATTATTACTAGGTTGCTTATCACTCTCAAGAGATCATATTGGAGTTCAGAAAATTCTTATATTGAGGAGGAGCTCAATATAAGAGGCCAACAATCATGAGGAAGGGTTTATTCTGATTCTTGGGTACTTAACTCACATTCTGGGTAATTCATAAGAAAATGTGTACCATTTGAAATAAGAGTTTGAATTTTCCGTTTTTTCATTTCTTGTCTATTTTGGGTTTTTGTTGTTGTTGTTGTTATGTACAAATAAAAGGTGATCTATTGCTCTTTAATTTAGCTCTTTTTTTTTTTTTTTTTTTTTTTTTTCCTTTTGAGACAGAGTCTCACTCTGTCGCCCAGGCTAGAGTGCAGTGGCGCCATCTCAGCTCACTGCAACCTCTGCCTCCTGGGTTTAAGCAATTCTCCTGCCTTAGCCTCCTGAGTAGCTTGGATTACAAGCGCCCGCCACCACGCCTGGCCAATTTTTGTGTTTTTAGTAGAGACTGGGTTTCACCATGTTGGCCAGGCTGGTATGGAACTCCTGACCTCAAGTGATCCCCCTACCTCAGCCTCCCAAAGTGTTGGGATTACAGGCATGAGCCACCGCGCCCGGCTGAGATAACATATTAAACTCCAAAGCCTGTGTTCCTATTTTCTTTAGAATGTGCTGCCTCAGATGCGAATAACAACTTTTTATGGCTAAGGAGAAGAAACCAAGAATCCATCTAAAGATAAACTTTATCACTCAGTTGCTCCCCTTAAATCTAATTTAGTATGTTATGATACAGTGGAAACAAAGTAAATCTATTTGTGTTATTGAGACAGAAGAAGTCAGTGAAACCCAGAGAAGCTGTGACCCGTAAAAGGTATATTGTACCCTTCCCTCTCCACTCATCTCTCTGTCATCATTTCTCTTTGGTCTTCCATTTAATGCTACTAAATCTGTATCTGGAAATACAGATCCTCCCTTGGGACGTGGCCTATAGCCAAGTCCATAGTTGCCATACCTTCTATCATCCTTAAGGGTCTGACAAAACCTCTCAAACTTGGGTAACCATAGGAGT